TTAGAGATCTAGAGTAATGACCTCAGGCTAAGCACTAGAAATGACTGCATCTAACCACCACAGGGGATACAAAGCCAAGCCCTTTGAACAAAATTCGAATCCCTGTAAATGACTCCCATATGCTAAAACTGGGTTGGGTTCAAAGTGACACCCATCTTAAACTCAAATCATGTAGCTAGGAAAAATCCCCCTTTCCTCAACTCTCAGGGGGATTCTTGGAGCCATCGAAGTAAGTCTGATAGTGGAAGAAACAATAAGGAGAGAATGCAAACAGTATTAAGAAAGCAGGACAAAATTGAGAGAAGCTTAGGATAGAGAGAAACAGATGACAAACAGCATCCTTTTCCTTCCTTTCTCATTCTCTAGTTGCAACATTAGGGACCTGGGATGATGAGTGCGAGACAAGTTTTGCTTGGATCTTCCAAGAGATAAGCTTATAATGTAAGCATATTTTGACCCTATTAGGGCCATGTGACTGGGGCTCTTATCTCTTAGGCTACTCTAGATTTCTTAGGGCTCTCATCTTTTCCCTGTAACCCCTTTGTTTTTTACTTCATATTTCAGGTTGAGAGAGGGAGACACCTGGACTGATCAAGGCTTACTAGCCATGAACTATTATGCAAGTGATTTAAACTCACAGGACTCTGCTTCCACTTCTGAAATAGGAGTAGCACTATCACAGGATTCAAGTACTCTTGTAAGAGCAAAATAGTCTAATATCTGCAATGTAATCTAGATAGTAATACCTCCTAATTTCTAGAAAGGTGGTATTACCATCTAAAAGGTAGGTAGCTAGATTTGTTTTGAAGTATTTGAATATTAAACAAGCTGTTTTTACTGAACATCTATGTTCATTTGAGGTGGCTTTGGGGCGGGGCGTGGGGGTTGTTGTTGATTGAGTATCACTCTTAGGTTTGGCCACTTCGGATAAGACATTTAAGTACTTGGCACAGAGTAAGTGCTCAATATGGGAAGCATCTTTGACATTAAAGTGCTACAGGAGACAGAAAAACAGAGCTGGCTGTCTGGTGTGCATCCTGGGCTTAAAGGAGAGAAATAGATGGGTCCTTCCCTCATCCCTCTAGGATTGCCAGCCCAGTTCATTAGAGAATGGAGAAAGGCTTTTAAGGACACATCTCTGGAGTAGAAATTTTGACCTGAAAATAATGGTATTGCAAAGTACTTAATAGATTGGCAACCTCAGAAACAATGGTGGCAAAAGGTAATTTAAGTTCCAAATCTATAGTCAATCACGAAGATTGGCACTTAGATTGGAAAAACTCTTATTACATAACTTTTTTCCATGAAAATAGCTGGAAAGAAAAGCTGATTTTCTATGCTGTTGCTGCTCACCATTTCATAGTGGCACAACTCCCACCCCAAATGTTGTGGAACTGTATTCAGCATAGATTTGTTTTTCAGCTCTTCTACCCTGTCCATTTTCCAACAGCTGATTAGTCTCCCTGGGATGTAGACACATCTCTGATCAAGAGCTGCTTGTCTCTTGCCCGTTCTCACACATGCATCCCAATATCCACATTACGTATAATAGACATTCTTATATGTACATACATAAACATTGGTATGCATATATGTTCCCAATACTATGTTCAAAGGCACATTCCAAATGGATGTATATATGCACTCATATACATATAGAAATCCAACTGGATTCCCAGAGGGAAATGTGGAACACATTGTTAAAATGTCTGTCATCCATGTAAGAGAAACAGAAATGAGCTGGGCATTAAATTTGCATACAGCCCCAAGCACAGAGGTTCCTGTATGTGTACTGTTCTCCTGTTCTTGATGATGGGCATATCTGACAGAAAGATTCTGTCAGGATTAGCTCAGGAAAAACACCCCCAAGGAGATAATTTGAAGACATACTGAGAATTTGCCTCAGTACATGAAAATAAACATGAAATCCTCAGCACTCTCTGCACATCGAGAAGTTCCCACCAACACTCGCTGCACACCGGGGGATAATCTACTGGAGCTAATTAACACACAGTCATACACAACGCTGTTAGAAGTGGTTGCCACTTAGGACTGATTTAGTTGCTGCAGTGCTTAAAAGAGACTTGAGAAGGTTTTTGTGTAAATGTGTGAGGAAAGGAGAGGAAATAGAAGTGTAAAAACAGCTGCAAAACTAAATGGTGCTAAGGCCTTTCCCTCCCCGCCCCCCCGGAAGACATTCAGGAAAGTTATTGAGAAACCATTAGCACTCCAGTAAAGAAAGCTTTTTACTTGATTTTATGTTACGCACACATTGCAGAGTCTATAGATTGTGGCTATGAAAAAGGGCGTTTTACTTCATAAGCAAACAAGCTCATTAAATGCTGACATATGGATCGTGTCATCTAAAAAAAACAACAATCTTTTCTATGTCTACTTCTTGCTTTATTTTATCTTTCTGATTTATGTAAAATTTCAGCAGTTATTAAGTAGTAATAGGTCATGGAAAAAAATCAAGGAATAAAGGGTCACTAACAGTTTCTTTTTATTAAACTTTGTGATATCATAAGGATAGAACAAATCTAACTTAAAAATGTTCTTCCTCAAAGTGAATGTTACAGATGCTATCTTATGAATAAACTATCTCTAATAATCACAATAGTAAAATATCACAACTGAGTAAATAAAGAGCCTTTAGCAACCTGCTTTTTATTACTGAAACATGATGAAAATAATACAGAACAGACCATTAGTGTAAACTCCATTATTTCAGGGTTTGTGAAAATTTAGAGTTGCAATTGATTCTTTTGCCCTGATAAAAGGATTTACTAAAGAAAATTATAATAACGTAAAAAGGATTTCAGGGGATAGTGTGTTTATTTTGGATTGGAGAATCTAACTTTTTATTTTTAGCTATCCCATTTGTATCCAAAATAGCTAGAAATCATTCTTGATTAAGGGTAATTCTATTTGGCTGTGTTTTGCTATCCATTAGTTGAGACACTATTAAGAATAAAACCTATGTGAACAAAATTCTGTAAAATATATTTTTCCATCAGGTTAGATAAGCCTACAAAATAAAATACAACAAAAATGAGCTAACACTGAGTAGCTGCTATGTACAAAGCCCTCTACCACATCCTGAGTCGAATAGAAAAACAAATGCAACCTCGTCTCTATTCTCTGTAGGCTCAAACCCAGGAGGGCAGACAGACACATTTGCAAAGAATTAGAGAACGGCAAACAGGTTCATCTTGAGAATCAGCTGTAAATAACTGGTGGTGGTTACTTGGAGTGTTTTTGTTGAGATATGATATCTATATGTGCTCAATTTATAATGTCTGCCAAGAGAAAGGGCATCAGAAGTAGTAAAATATAGGCAATGTCACTACCAACTCTGGCCTAGAAGACTGAATGTCAAGGTAGCATGCAACCATATGTAAGAAATAAGGTTAGAATGGTTACTTTCTAAATCTTTCAAAAAACAACAAATTGTTAACAATGGTTTTGGGACCATTGATTGTGCTTCCTTGTATGAATTTTAGAGTGGTTTATATAGAAAATAAAAGCATAAACAAAATGTTCAATTCTAAAGCTGAAGGTACAAAAGCTTACAAAGTGTCATGTAAATGAAAGTGAGAAATTACTTTGAATTGGATGCAATACCATGCAGGTCCTGGGAATTTGCCATTTGGGACCAGCATATCTGAATGAGGCAAACCAGCTGCTTATTAGGTAAAGAGAAAGGTTGTGTTTTAGCAAAAATAAAGATTTTTTTTTTTTTTTTTGCTATGTCTCTAAATGTTAAAAAAGATTAGCTAGAAGCAGCTGCTTCGTCTACTCTAAATAGAACAGATACCAAGTACCAAAAAGGACTATGAAAGATCACCCTCTTCCTATAATTCGCGTGTCTGCTTCTTGGATGTTCCCCCATTAACAGTGTCATAAAGTGACGTTAGGAAATAAGGTCACTCCAGTCTTTATAAGTTAAAGAAATAAGGAAAAAATTTTTAATATTTCAAGAAATATGTGGACCTTTCATTTGTTATTCATTCCACTGATTTACTTCTACGGCTACACTCATCTGCTCCAAGAGCACCCAAACCCTACGGATGCCACTTTGAGAGGCTACTTTTCCTTCTGGGTCTAAGGCGTAGAGATGCACGGAGAGAGAAAGATAGATGAGTGTCAGGATATCAGTCTCAATGAAATCTTGGCAGCTCCCCAAGTCCAGTTGTAGGAACATTTTTCTGAACCTCCTTCACTCACAAACTTTACTTTATATTGATGTTTAAAAAAAAAAAAAATGACTCTTTACCGTGTCATTCTCCTCCTCCCACGGCAATTTCTGGTTGCTTTCTTCAGTCTTTTAAAACTCTGCCTCCTTTCCTCTTGGTTTTAGTTCTTCCTTCTCCAATGTATTATATATCCTTTTGTGGAAGGATCCTATGGGTTTTCAATCCTGATTTCACATTAGAATAACCTGAGAGCAGCTGGATTTTACTCATTATACCTGAGCTCTATCCAAGACCAGTTAAATCGGAATCACTTAAGAGCAGAAACCGGTGTGTGTATACTTCTAATGCATCCCAGGTAATTCTAATGAGCATCCAGTAGAGTGTATTGTAGTAGACCAGTGGTTCTCAGAGTGTGGTCCCTACGTCATGAGCATCACCTGTAAACTTGTTAAAAATGCAAATACTCGAGCTTTACTTCCACAATACTATATCAGAAACCTTGAGATCGGAGCCCAGGTTCATTTTTAAGAGCCTTGCAAGTGATTCTGAAACATGCTAAACTTTGAAATACAGTGTGCTAGATCACTGACATTTGTATTGTCTAGATTAAGACTTTTCATAAGGCTTTATTTAAAGTGTGATCCCCAACCAGCAGCATCAGGATCACCTAAGAGCTCTACCCTTGGCCTACTGAGGTTTTTAATCTGTTTTTTAACAAGATCTCCAGGTGACATCTATGTAGCTCAAAGGTTAAGAAGCTCTGTTCTAAGAACTTATTCAAAGTTTCACACATTCCGCCAAGGAGTTGGCTGCTGATTTTATTTATAAATGTAATAGTAATCATGCCTCAAGAATGGAACCCTTTATTCTTTAGTTATTAAACGAGAAACAAAATTGTTTTTTCCAATGTGGTGACGAGTCTAAGCCTTTTTCTATACTTCTGTTTCTGTTCCAGATGTATTTTCACATCTCCTGAGAAAATGAAGAAATGAAAGATCAAAATTCCTTATGTTTTTCTTAGTTCTGAGATGTATCCATTTTATTTCCTTGGAAATAGGATCTCTGAGGTTCGACAGAGAAAGTTGGTTTCTTTGTTCTGCAACCTCTCCCACACACAAGAAGGGATCTCTGGTGACAAAATAAAAATATTTATTGAGCATATTAAGAAGTAGCAATGTGTGGATTTGTATGTATAATGAGGGTGGATAAATTAGAGAGAGAAATGTCATTCCCATCAAGTCAAGTTCATCACCCCTTAAGGTCAGCCATGGTGTGAGGATGCCCCAGACTTCTCTATAACAGAGAGAGCTCTGTTGCTTCTTGTGATTATTCTAAAACTATGAGAACCAGTGTAATGGCAATAGCTCACAAACCCACCTGCTTAAGCACCTGTTTTTCCACTCTTCTATTTTCATCTGCAACTTCAGCTTCATTTAGCTCAGATAAGAACTGATCCCTTGAAATTGAAGGTCCTTCACCAGTTTGGTATCCTAGCTTAAGCCTTGATTTGGGAGGGGTAGTGAGCAAGTGGAGAGAAGGCGGGTCAGAGGATCTACATTTTTAGCTAACAGAAAGGACATTTTCAGAGTTGAAAAGAGCGCACTAAAAAATAATGATTTAAAATTATGCCCGAATCTGATTAAAATCAATATGTAAATCAACTACACTTAATAAAGGACTATGTCATTGAATCTTACATCCAGAAAGTCTTAGAAGAATAAAGGATTCAAAATCAAATGTGTAACACTAAGAAATGAAAAAGCCTCCCTACCACATTAAAGTTAGTTTTCTCATCCCAGTTTCACCAGTAGGTTCGAAACTCCTTCATCACTTAAGTTATTTCTTTCTGAGCGTTCCTCCCGCCTTTCCCCCGCCCCTAGATCTGAGGGGTTACTCTGTGAGAAAATGACTTCTCTATCTGATCACTTAAGATGTGAATATTTGTTGTGAACCAGCTGCAGCTCTAATAACCACTGATCCATGGAATCAAAGGCTACTCCTCACAAACAATAAGCTCTTCTTGTTCCTGAAACTGCACTCTGTAACCTTTGCAAGTATTAGAAAAAGTGGGCATGACAGGTCCAAAATGCCATCACAGCCATAAGTTTCTTATGATTGGATTAATTTCAGACTTTACAAAAATAAGTAGTTGAAGTTTTATCAACAAAGGTGATAACTAATGATATATAATTTCTAGTACTATGGGGCAATTTTTGCCAAATAAGATGTATTGCCAATTTGGTTAACAGCGGACACTTAAAATGCTGACAGTTTAAAATATGTTGGCATAGTGGTGATGATGAAAGGCTAGTTTCTTTTCCATTTAAATCTGATATTCCATATTAAGAAACACAATCATTCAGAAACAATTTGTTCTAAGGATCCCTCAAATGAACCAAGCTTCGTTTTCTAAAATCCAATGAGTTCCTTGGTAGCAAAGGAATATATATGAGGATAAGAGTTTATAATTTTTTTTGAACACCACAAAAACAGCATGGAATTAGACATTCACAAGTATGAAATATTAACTTAAAAGTAAAATACACTGATGAGATTTCAGTGTAATTAAAATCCATTCTGCTCCTCAACAAGCTGTTACTTTAATAAAATATGTTTTCACAGTCAGGTCCTAACCAACTTGGATATCTAATCTAAAATAGGGCCTGGACACTTAGTAGGTGCAGCCAATGCAAGGAAAGAATGAAGGAATGAAAGTAGATCAAAACTGGACATGTAGCCCTGTTAACAAAAAAGAGAATTACCCTTCTAAAATAAATCAAAAGCTATACTTTTAAATATTTTTCAACATTTTGAGTTTAAAAACATAATATATTATTTTCAACCCACGGATTAGAAATAAAAGTAAATTTTGGTATGAAACACATGCTCTGCAACTGTGAATTAGTACACTGTTATCAATGATTCCAGTAAAACAGCTGAGAACAAAAAAAAGAAAATGATCTTTGCCATTTAAAGAATATATATGCGATGGTACTTTGTAGTATTTAAAAATAACAAATCAATAATAATGCTTTTTTTGGCTTTTAACTATTCTTAATAGAAACAAGATTAAGTAGGTCTAAACTGTTAAAGATTCTCAATTACTTAACAGCAATTGCTTCATTGCATGTGAGAGTACCTGACTTCAGAGGCACTTTCTTGTAATCTTTGCTCATAGGTACTAAAGCATTATTCTCCATTTTAGAAGACTTGTGGATTTCTCTTTTATCCGAAGGGTTGTATGGGAAACAAAACATTATTTTTCAGGCATGAGGCCTTAAGATTTTTAAGATTCCAGGTTATGCGCCCAACCATTTGGCTGTTTGCCACCTACATGGGGTCACAATGGAAAGTAAAGTCACCTCTGAACAATTTCATGAACTTCAAGACCAAAAAACTGCATAAATAATTTGTAGGCCACAGACCATCATCAAAGTCTGGAATATATGCAAATAACATTGCTTACATTTAATAGATCTGTAATGCTGTAAGCTTTTCCAGCCTAAATAAATGAGTAAATGGAGAGCTTTTTATGGTGCAAGATTGCTACCTACAGGCCAAACTGCAGAATGACATATAAGACAATTGGGGAGGAAGGGAAAAAGGTAAACAATTTTTTATAACGGCTTGTAAGTTATTTGCTGACAAGTAGATAAAGCCAGGAGCATGTAAGATTGCATAATAAACTCTGGGATATGTATTGACAGTTTTCATTTTAAAATACTACAATCCAGTTTGAGAGTTTTCCATTATTTTCCACTTTTTTCTTTTGAGTGTTTTGTTACCTTCTGAAAAATGTAAATTGCTTTTCTGATGGGGAAAAAGTTCTCTTTTAATAATGTATTCTAATGCTGTGGAATGTACACTGATTCTGTACGTAGGTTCTATGTAACATTTATATTAATAATGTTGATTATTTTTGGTAGAACAATCAATTACAAAATTTGGAATTAGTTTCCGTGGTTTGAATAAATCTGGTCAGAGGCAGTGGTAGGGGAGGGGACTGTTTATATTATGTATACCCTGACTCTATATAGGTTTTAAAATTTATTTGTTCTAAAACTATCTATTTTCAATATTTAGAGTAATTTAAAGATTGTGTATATTTTAAACTGTATATCTTTGTTAAGAAAATATCAAATACGTTAGTTATAAACCTCAGATAATAGTTCATCTTACAATACAGAAATCTTATTTTTACTTGAAAAGAAGTATGAAATTCATACTGAATTCTCAGTAATTTATACGGCAGCCAAAATTTTCTGAAATACGGAGAGTGATTTTAAAAATGCAGATCTTTAAAAAGATAAGGCAAATTATTAGAAATGCATTTCCCCTCTCAACTATAAAGAAATTCCAACTCTAAAGAGAGGTTTCAAAACTGAATAATATATTATGGTTAAAACACATCAACAATCTGTCACACCATATGCACAAATAAACATATCCCACTATCACTGCGCATGCCATGAGGCAACGAAACATCTGAAAAGGTAGAGCAAATTCTTTCTCATAGTGTTATAGACTCTAAATAACATTGTCAACATTTTCTAAGATATGCATAAAGTTATCATTCTTTAACTCTGCTATTTATATAGTTCAAACATTTTGCTTGCCCATCTGATGAAGATGTTCCACACATCTTTAATTTTAAACAGAATTTAGAACATATTTAGGTGAGTAAGGAAAGAATACTATATTTATAAATGGATATTGATTTTGAATAATAAAATCTTATTTACAATGTATCATTGAACTATTTAGACATAATCTTAGGTGAGATTCAATTATGTGAAGAGTTCAAATATAACAAAATCATCGATATAAAGGTGTTGCACTAGTAATATGCTAGTTTATTCTGATTTATAGCCAACTGTATATTGTTTAGCATTTTCTCCCAACTTAAAGTATGAATTTTAAACAATAAATATCATAGAATCTATAAATTTAAAAATGGAAGTGGTGAAGGCATTAACCTACTTTGTCCCTACTGTTAGAGTCTCCTGAAGAGCAAATGTTTTCTATATGGTGTTTAATTGTATATAATCATAATATAATTATGTAATGATTAAATGCTCCCTTTAATTTAAATTTAAATTTTATTTTATTTAAGTAGATAATCTCTTTTAGAAATAGTTTTCTATAATTAAATTGTTCAGGAGACATTTTAATAAAGATTGAGGGTGAACCATCTAATTTCTAAAAGCAGATTCACAACAAATTTTCTGTGAAATTAATATTTAATTCATTTAACAATATTCTTCCTCTTATATAGTTCTCAGTAGACTGGATTGTTACTTGCCAACTGATTTATACTTTGTCAGTCAGTATAATTGTGAACAGAATCAGTGAAAGTATTCAGGATATGTGAGAGAATTGTTAAAGGGTAAGAAAAAGTTTTTAATATTGCCCTCTTAGGCAAAATAGATTTTAAAGGTCTTATTATCACTTACCTGGGGCAAATAAATTCATATGTAGTCCTAATTCTACCATAACATAATTATAAACCACGATAAATGGTAAGACTTTCTCTATTTGCATTTATAAGAAGGTTTAAGAGACAAAATATAAAGCCGAATAGTAAAGATTATATCATGGTTGTTGGATACTTCTCCTAAGGCTATCTATGAAAATCACTTAAAATTATTGATCATAAAAAATAGTGTCATTATTCTATGGCATAAAAGTAATGCTCATAGGAAGGTAGCCTACTGCATTTGTGTACTGTTTAATGTGGATGGTTTATAGGAAAAATTACTCATGTTATTTTTTCTTAGCTCACAAAACTGTAGTTAACATTTTTTTATTTGTGTATTTTCATTATTCTCATGCTAAACATGAATGAATTCTAAAACTAAATTCACATTATCAATATGAATTGTAAACCCATCAGGTCTCTTTCTAGCAAGGGATGTTACTTTTATCTTTGTTACATTCTCTACAAAACTTACTGGTAACATACTTTCAGAAAATGCCAGCCAATAAAGTACACTAAAATAATTTTCTTTATAAAAGCACAGTGATCTTTGGCATCGTTCACTATTTTCAAAGCCATAAAAGAACAGATAACAAATATATGACTCACGAATTATCAATTATGAAAAATAATCTGGTTCAGAAAGCTGCACTAATGTAAAAAGATGAATCACTTGTCACAAACCAATAAAGGCTATTGTTTGTGAATCCAATATTTGATTTTATCATTTATGTTGGGCAACTTAAAATGATTTTTAAACCACATTAGTTTTGGAAAAAAAAATTGTTATAAAGGTGAACACAAGGGTTGGGGGGAGAAGAAACCAGATGTGTAATCTGTCATCTTCGAAACAATTTATATTCTTACATTGAGTCCCGCCTACAAATCTAAGTCGCAAAGACCTAGTCAGCAATGGTGGATGCATGAGAAAGGACCCTACCATGTTCCAGAGAACAGACAGTAGCGAGAATGGTAGCATGACTTTGATTCTCTTTCCTTTTGATGTGCCATTCCGATGGCTGAACATTTGCAGCTATCATGCTTCATTATGCAGGGAAGTTCAACCCTTGTTTTTTTCCTTTTTTAAGCTAGTGTAGTTTGTTACACTTTTTATGAGGGTACCTGCTTTTGCTTATTTTGTATTACACAGAAAAGAGCATGTTGAGGCTACCAAGCTCAGAAAACCTTTAGGACCAATTATCTTCTAGACTGTTTCATAGAACAAAGAGGTACTATTCACACCAATGAAGAAGAGCATCTGCGTGAGTGACGAGGGCCAGAAATTTCCTACATGGTATTATCTGGGGGCTATTTTCATACTCTACCTGCTCTCTGATATCCCAATTACAGCCTTTTATATCTGCTTGTGAAAAAGGGCATGGATGGCAAGGAAAATCAGAAATATTTTATCCACAAGGCCAGTGATCTAATGTGTATATGTTATCTAGGGATGGCCCCATTCTCACCCCTAGATAACAGATTTGACTATCGGATAATACAGGGTGCAGGTGAATTTCGGTGGCATGAAATATGGCAGACACAGGCAAAGGGTAGCAGGGACCACAATGAACATGAACATGATGGGGAATAGTCCCGGGATAATGGTGTGTCCAGATGGGTATCTGGTGGGGAGACTGGAGGCTAGTGAAAGAAGAAGTGGGTTTAAAGGTAGAAAGATAGTCACATCCTAGAGACATTATTGCACAATGGGCTTTTACCATAGAAGACTTCTGTCCTCTACTCAGGGAAGAAACACTAGAAATCAGAAAAAGGGAGAGCCCAAGGGCCTACTTATCTATGCCAAAACACAGCAAGAAAAATTAAGTATTAAACCCTGGATCAACCTCTAACAGCTTATTTGAGGTGTGGGTCATGAATTTTGCTTGAAGTGGGGCTCGTGAATGTTTTTGGATATCTTCCTACTTGGACTCTGTAAAGAGGTGAAAATGAGGTGGGGGACGAACATAATTGAGTAACTATTCAATTATGGCAACTGCTAGCTAATGAAGATCTATTACAACTAAGTTTTTAATATAAAATGTGCTAATTGACTAGGTTGGAGCTCAGAACAAGCATATGGCTAAGATGTTTGATTACCTAGTCTGGTTCCATGTCAGCGATCAACTATCACATGGTAAAAAATAAGTGTTTCTATGACAACTACTGAACTTGCTGACTAAGGAGTGGGTGACCAACTTGAGGGATGAGTTTCTCCAAATAATATATGATCCATTAATCCCCACACTGTGTGACCTGGAAGCTCATCAGCTGATGCATGTTTTTTCTTGTCCCTTACTCAAAATGTTCATCTTGCTCTCAGCCTTGGCAAAACTTGAATCAGACTCATAGGTGAAGAACATTGCATAGAATTTTTTTTTTTTAATTGGAAAGGGTATGTAAACCTATGAATCTAACCTTATAAAAACAAAACAAGTCAACATATTCCAACCAGCTCTGAGTCTGACATTCAACCTTATGAAGAGTGATTATAATAATTTCTGAAGTTTCTGGATAGGGCCAGCCTCTAAATCAAAGAGAACCTGTATAGCAACTTTTAGGAGTTGGGTATTTCATCATCTTCAATTTTAGACAAAAACTTTCTTTTCCAATGTCATTCTAAACTAAAAATTCAAAACAGGTGTTTGATGCTAAGGCTGTAACCAAAATATTCCCCTTTATAACCTGCAACTCTGATAAGACTTCCCTCGGAAATATAATGGTTACATAGCCCTTGTATGGCTTTAACAAACCCCTATTTTCTTCTTTCTGCACCATACAATGTGCAGTCTATTTGCACCCATTCAGGACTAAATTACAGATAAAGTTACTGCAAATTTGTTTTCTCAAAAAAGCAGTCAGCCCTAATATCCCTCGAGTAATAAAAGCCTTGTCTTTCATTCAGAACTAGAACTGGCATAATTTTCTCTAAGAAACAAACTCTACTTCCTGCGACAATGGACCTGTTCTTAAAATTCTGAATGGGATACAGCTCAATTTGCAGGTGTTCAGGTATAAAGGTAAAAGGGCATTTGACCCCCCAACTGGCAATTGTTGCTGTGGTAGGTAACTTCAGTCTCCTAGTTATATCATTCTATTAGATAAGCTGCCAGAGTTTTCAGCTCTGAATTACAGAGGTAGGCTCAAGTGAATCAATAATTTATACAGATATATCTCATTCATTCTGATGGTAGAAAGATACATACTAACAGCCTGCTGCAGCCACGGAACAAAGCCAGAGAGACATTATTTAAAAAGAAAGAGAGGAAAAGGAACCCATTTATCTATGTGAGCAAAAACATTATGTAATAATGACCTAATGGCTTATTAATTTTACTTTTTAACTGTTTTAGCAAATACTGTGGTGAGATAAATAAGCTCTTTATGAATCTCAATAAGGTTGCTCTGATGAATGTTAAGCTAACATTTAAAACTTTCAGCTTGATTTTAAAATAGAATATTTTACATAGCAATGTAATACAAATCATTTGAAAAGATTCATGCATCTAAGAAGTTTACATTAACTAGCTTACTAAATCTCTCAAACATTTTATTACTGAATTTCAGTATAAAATTACCCTCTAAAGGATGAGAATCAAATATATTTAGGGACTGTATACTAAGAGTATTGT